GAGTGATGAGGTGGAGAAACGGGGCTCTCTCAGGGAATCTCAGGGAGTGACTTGGCCAATGAGCCTGGATTGGGAAGTTCTAGGACTTACCAACCAGGTGAGATGCCTATGCCCTCCAAGCTCAAACCTGGGCTGACGAGATACGATCCTAAATAATGGGCAGTCGGAACATTAAGGACTTTGCCTTGATACGAGCAGTTAAGGTACTTTAATGTGTTCGGCTGAATAAATTTTGATGATATAATGGACCAAATTAGCAACCTCCCCAAAACCCTTGGAAACTGGGTGTATTAGCTGGGGGTCCTTAGTCAGAACTATCACCCAAACAACAATAGCAGACAAAATGTATAGTGATTGCCAAATTATTGGGGGAAATTAGTAACCTTGAGCAACCTAAGCGGTAAAAAACCTTGAAATTTAAAACGCTTTTCTCTCAAATTGGATTGTAATTCGATGAAAAAATGACGAGCCCAATATTGTTTTGAATTCTAACAGAACTCTCGTATTGAAATTTGTTTGGTGAAAATTCGGCTTTAAATTGCACTTCTAAAATGAATTACTTTTGGCTCTATTTTTAATCAATCAAAAATTAAGCTAAAACTACTGGTTCAACAACTAACAAAGCTCATAAGAGCCTTCTTTTTGAGAATTTTAGAAAAAAAAAACAAATTCCTTCTTATTATATGAAATGAATAATTATTGTTTGATAGCCAAAAAATGCAACTTTTATACCATTTAAGACAAAAATTTATTTTTAAAATAGTTCTTAAATTTTTCAAATTTTTTTGGAGCTTTTTTCTTTTTAAAATTTGGATGGACTACGTAAGAGGCTGATACTGACGCAGTTATGTAAGTAGTGGACTTGGTGTTTTCCTCATATTTTTTTTCAGAATAAAAACTCAAAAAAAAAAATCCGTTTGTGAGGTAAAATTAAATTCCCAATTTTTTTCAACGACGTTCGCCGTAAAAAATGACTGATGAAATTCTATGCAAGCTTTGTGGCCGCTAATTTTCACGTAACGTCAACCCAATTGGAGATTAACGAGTTTTAAGTGTCAAGTTTTATACTTTTCGTCCGGATAATTTAAATCAGCACTGTGCAATGAGGCTAAATTAGCGAATATTTATTCATTAGCCAAGATGAAATTCCATTGAGATGAGTCGAATTATTTCTATAGTTGTTCCGAACTTCTTAGAAAAACAAACAGTCAAAGATATTTATTTTGAGATGATTGAAAAATATTTTGAAATATCTAAATTAAAGATTTTAATCGAAATAAAATTCTTGTAGATTCTGTGTTTGATTATTTGTGAGTTTGTAGTTCCAAATTTGATTCTTCATGAATTCCTCAGAAGCGTAAACGTTGCATGATTTTTTCATTTCCTCTGCGAAAAAATTAGAAATAAATTGCATAACTTTAACAGATTCAATTGAATGATCGATTTTATCGCTGGGTGGAAGACGAAACTGATTTGCTTCTACATGCCATTGAATACCATATATGGGCATATTTTTGTGCTCTATCGTGGACAAAAACTCTTGCCCGTTAATGTCCATATTTGTCGAAAGGATATTAAACGCATCTTTGAGTAGCTTCGATTCTTCGTAGGTTCCAACAAGTGTGGAATTTACGTGAAAATTAGCTGTACTGTTTTTGTTTTGAAGATGTTCATACATCCAAATTGGCATTTCTGAAAATAATGCAGATGATTTTGCCGTTTTAGTGAAATTTAAAATCATCGACACGTCTTGGGTTCCGTTAGTCGTTGTAAGAGGGTCTATTCCGTGGTTGAAAATACGAAGAAGTGCTTGAAATCCGAGACAAATTCCGAAGATTGGGAACATTTTTCCTGTTTCATGGAAATCCTTCTGCGACCATTTGACAAATAAGTTTGCAGTGTCATAGAAACTGTCGCCAACTCCTAGAATTAAGCAAAATGAAGAATGTGTAAATGGGTTGAAATTAACAGCCCACCGACATAACGCTTTCGGGAATTAAATGTTAACAAATTGAATGCAAATTAAATGTTATGATGAAAAATCATAACTTGGTCTACTTGGTATAACAGTTATTTCAATTCGATCTGCATCTTTTTCGATTATACAGCGCAAAAATGATCTTTTTAAAAAAAAATTGCTCAAACTGAGATTCAAACACAAACCCAGGTTCACTTTGGTTCGATTAGGTCATCTAGGAAAATGACCCCAAATCGCGAATGCAATCCGTTTTACGAAAAACTGGATATTTGTCAATTTTGAAAATAATATCCGCTTATAAAGTTCCATCAGTTAATTCCATCTCTGTTAATTTTCTCGCGTCTAGTTTTTTGAATTTTGCATCTACAACTCTATTCTAAATCTATTATAAAAAAAAACAAAGTTCTAATTAACAAATCACAATACTATGCCAAAGCTATAAATGTTAAGGTTAATCTCAGATAAAGTTATTGGGCATAGGACTCAGTAACTTCCAATTAAGAAGCACCGCAAACCCACGATTGCAATATCCAGATTGATGAAGACTAAGGCAAAAAGAATAGAAGTAGAAGCATCCATGGACTCTTGACTTGCACCAAATCATCAAGCTAAATGAAAAAACATGACAAATAGACGGTATATGGGAAACTATTCATTAAAGGCAGTTACACCAGAAAGTGTTTTTGATAAATTACGGAAAAAATAAGCCTCATTGTGTGTATTTTGATAGCATTAAAGTTTGTGGTTAAATTTTTGTTGTTCTAACCCGGAGACCTAATCCGAAGGTTACTTATCTAAGTTGACAAGACCGTATATATGTTCAGCACCAATTAAGCGATGACTTATTTGCAAGCGCTCACCTTGAAAACAACAGCGCTCGCGCGAGTTGAACCAGCAATCACATGATTGCTGGACAGCATAGCATCACTAACAGATCGCCACAATGCAACGACCCCACAATACCGGAGCGCCAAATCAAAATCGAGCTTGAACAAATTGTGGTCTTTACAATATTGAGGGTTTGACGAATGCATAGGCAGTAATGCATGCTGCTATGCCTCCGATTTGTATTATCAAAACGAAGCCAACAGGCTGTTGGAAAAGAGTCAATGAACGCAAGGAAACCAAAAAAACTGACTATTTTTTTTTACATAAATTACAGCTTTCGAGTTTAAGAGAAGCCAATAAATGCAAGTATATTCTTCGAATATATATCCTTAAAACTCTTTGAATATAAAAAAACAATTTATGATGGGCACTTTCTGATAACCCAATTTGAGAACACTGGATCAAAACATGAAAGTTTTGTTTCCTTGCTGGGAAATATAAATTGAAATTTATGCTCAAAACTAGAATTCGATCACATTTTCCGGACTTTTACAACTGCTGTTAGCCTTCCTTGCACGAAATCTGCCTTCATTTTAGCAGGAAAGTGAACTAAACTAAAGCTTGAACAAATTCTGAGACTTTTGCTGAAAAAAACTTAAAAACATATTAAGACCTATACAAGGGTCTTCACTTCGTTCATTGACTCTTAAAACATAATGACTGATTATGAAGAGGTCACATTATCAGCCTCTCCCTCAAAAGGTTGGTGCTGGGGGGCCGACATCAAATTGTGGCTTTTACTTGTGGGGAGGGCGAAAAAATTTGTAAAAGTTTTTAGACCGGGCACAACAAAAATTCTCCGTAGAGAGGTAAATACCTGGTATATTGGTCCTTTCTCTCGGAGAAAATTTTTTAAGATTCAAAAGTGTTTAAATCATTATGTTTGCCATGAATGAAGACACGCTATGGAAAAAATGGGTGAGGAATGGCTTTAAGGTTTTTTTCTACTGTTTGTAGAATATTGTGTTCACACTTCTATTAATGAAAACTCAACTTTGTTTCAGAAGTACAATAAATGGCAAAACAACACGAAACAAGTAGTTCAAAAACAACTATTTAAAATAAATAGATAATATAACTTCGCGTAAATAAAGCAAATAGCAAGAAACTCAGCGATGCAAAAATTTTGTGCCATATTTTTGGATGTTTTTCGCAAGTGAAAATAGCAAAATTACAATTCCTTTACTACTTCAGCAATTGAGTTATTCAACAAAAACCTATTTTGAAGCTGACCTAGTGGAACCTGATCTAAACTACATTTTATGATTGGATAAATTAGATATTTTACCAATGTAAAGTATTTAATATTAACCAATCATGATCCATCTAACTAACAACCCACTTATTTGTAAGTGCTGAAGTTACTTGTAATTTCAGCACCAGAGAGATTTGAATTTAACTTAGAAATTAGTTGGACTCTCCCGAGTACTTCAGCAGCCGCAATAAACCAGTATACCCTAGATCTATTGAGCCTAGCAGAGACTAGTTAAACAACCTGAGACTAGATAGTATAAGAGTAAGATTAGGATCGGTATTAGACTAAGAAGTTGCACGAATCTATCCGGCCGAAAATAAGATAGCGTGACGAGCAGACGGTGTACCCTATCCGAAATTACTCTATGAGTTAACCAACTCGGTCCTAACTCATCTGGTGCGACCATAAGTCTCGAACAAGACCTTAATAGCTTAGAATTAACCAAAATAGATTAGAAATTAGACAAAAACATTTACAAAATGTTATACGACAATAATTTAATCGAAATGTCTCTACGACTCAATAGATCAGAGCCAATATTCCGAACCATAACAGAACTACCCGGAATTGGAAGAAGACCTCGAACCAGAGACGACATACGACAAAGTAGAAACTTGCCATATAGCTATATGATAGTTAGGCAAAAACCAGAACAAACTTTTATATTTAGAATACTACTGGCAATGAATTTAGATTTTCATTTGCAAACATAAAACCTTGAAGTTAATCTTCAAAATCATTTCAGGCGCTAAACAAAATTATTAATATACAATAACGATTGATAAAAAGATCTAAGATCGTTTTCCTAAAACTCTGCAGTAATATACAAAACATGTTTGAAAAATATTTATTGAAAAATAAAAAATAAAAATTAGTAGCATGACAATAAATGGTTAGTAATCATAAATCATCCTGTTGTTCCAGCTCCATCACCTAAAACATAACAGCAATCATAAACCTACTAATATCATCAAAACACTAAATCTTTCCTTTACACACATTTAAAATTTTATTAAAACTTAAATTCACTTAATTTTAAAACCAGATCATCAAGGCTTATCCTTGGATCTTAAATCATTTTCTACTTAATTAAATTTCAAATTTGATCATCAAGGCTTATCCTTGGATCAAACAGAACAACTTTGTTCTCCCCCACCCACTTAATTAGTGTCTAACGACCTCAAACGTCGATTCACTACCCAACCCTTTCTAAAGACCTAAGACTAATAGAAATTTTTAAACAAAACTAATCATTCAAATTAGGATAAACAGTGAAGAACTTCGGTTATTCATCCTTCACTTGACCCCCCCTCTTAACAGACCCAGGATAAATCTTAGACTTAGTAAGTTTAAAATAGTATCTAACGAACTACTCGCGTTCTAATTATACCTGAACCTTGTGGATCGATTTACTATTCTCCAACCCTTGAACACAATCACTACCCCTAAGTAAGATTAAGTAAGTTAACACCTTAACTTATACTAGCCACGAGAAAGTAAAAAATCATTCTTCGGAATCGATATACTTTTCTCTCCAACCCTGAACAAACAGACCCAGGTTAAGCTAACCAAAAAATCGTAAGAACTAACAGTTTAAGAAAATAGAAACCATTTAACAACCTTTTGCATCCGTCATCCTAAACCTTATGTCATTTAAAAACCTAGGAAATAAACAAACAATCGTTTTACACAATGGTGAAATAGATAACAAAAAATACGACCTTGTAATCACGCCTCATACACAAACAGTTGGATACATTCGAACAAAACGACAAACACTAAAAAGAAAAATAATAACGAAACAAAGACAAATAACACGAAAAAGATTTTCAAAAAATCGAAACGCATTTTCAGAATCAGAAACCAACAGTTTAGACGAACTTTACAAACTAAAAGAATCAATAGATAAAAATTGCCCACTTCACGATCAATTATATTTTTCTGACTCAGAAACAACTTCAAATTCATCAAAAAGAGGAAAAAGAAGAATAAAAAAGCAGTATAAACACAAACCAGTACATTTATACAATTGGAATCAACCAATTCGACACATTAATAATTACATATTAACAGTCATCGAACGAAAAAATGAGCTCAACGCACACCCCAGGTGAAGAAAGTCCAGATGATGATGAAATCTTTCCTTTTATAGTAGATGCAACCACTGATAGAGGACAGCATATATTTTGCAAAAATTTACTATTAAATTTATTTGAACCCGGAATCAGTCCATGTAAAACAGAGTTCCCAGATGTAAAAATCAAAAGACAAATCATAGACCACTACTTAAAAGATATATGCAACATAACACAACAGTATGGAATCTACTCCATAGAATTCACCTCACCAAACCATAATAATAGAAAATATACAATTCAAACAGACGATCTTGATTTAGAATTTTCAAAAGTTTTTTCAGAATATATAAAAAGCATCCAATATCATAACTCACAAAGAGCAAACTCCATATTCACCAATGAAGTTTTCGCAATAATATATAGTTATATTTCGATATTAGAAAACGAAATCCCAATAACAAATGTCTCACCGACAGAAACATCTAAACATTTAAGAGTACGACATGAAATCACACTACTCTCTAGTTATTTAAACATCATTAAAGAAAAATTCACGAAAGACGACGTTTCACAACATACAAAACACGATCTACAAAAAATTTTGGCATGGTTCATAATAGATTATTTCACACACAATATTGATTTAATTGCACAAGCAAGAAAAAATTTTAGACCCCAAAACTCGAACGATGATACCGCTATCACAGAACAATCAGATTATGTTTGGGACCCCGAATGGTCTCATCCCGCATTTATAAGCTTCCCACAATCAATTTCAAGTCAAGCAATAAGTACGATATCTTACATAAGAGATTATGTAAAAGTAATACCACTCACCATTGATGCAACACCATTAAACTATAATACATTTTTGCCCGATACACAAAATAATAGTTTAAACTCTACAGTCATACATAATGAAAACCTCAATGGAACTAGGAATCTTACTCAACAAGATATCCAGACACCATCACACTTCATAAATGAAGAAATTGTACACACAACAACTACACAACAAAGTATTTCACCAATACGCCCAAATTTAACAACACCAAGAAATACAAATCCTTCACAAACACAGGTAACCTTACAATCAACCGTTAAACCTTCGGTTGCTCCTAAATATTCACATATGGATTACCAAACATACAGACCCATGACAATACCATCAAAAACACGCAAAACATTCACTAGAAACAACTTTGCAGACCATAATTATAATTATACACATCCATCAAAAACATATAACCAACCACAAAGAAATTTTAACCAATATACAAGATCTCGAAATTGGGATAACCCAATGACCCAACCTAATTCAATAAATTTCCAAACAAATCCTCCACAGGATCATAGTGAAAATTACCCATTTTTTCAACAAAATAAAAATAAAAAACAGACATCTTATCAGATGGATTATTTATCCTCAGATGATGATTTCTTACAACCAGATATATTTGCACCAAATACTCAAGAATATCGTAGACAAGGAATACAGAGAACACGTACAAATCATAGAAATTTCTCTCCACAACCAATAGATGCACAACATCAACAACCAATTCAACAACAAAATCTAATTAATACACAATCTTTTCAACCAATTCAACAACAAAATCCAATGACTGCACACTCGTATCAACCATCACAAATGCAAAATGAAATACCACTCCCATATTATCTCCAACAACATGAAATAACAAGAAACCAACTTTCAAATTTTTCTCAAATGCCAAATGCAGCAGAATCATTACAAATGACAATGAATCCATACCTTATGGGTGGATCATCAATAACATCAAACAAACCTTTAATGGTTTTCACAGGAACAGACCCTGAATACTCTGTAGAAGATTATTTAAATGCAGTAACAGCAAACCTGATTTTAAATATTGGACCTGAACCAATTAATACGCCACTACATCAAAATTGGATACATCGACGCACAGCGTTAATACAAACAACCTTAGATGGCGCAGCCCAAAAATGGTTTTCAGTACTACCTCTAGAAATAAAATCAAACTGGAAAAGGTTTACACAGGAATTTTCAAAAATGTTTGACTCCGAAAGAAACAAACAACAACAAAGAGTTTTATGTAATGAAATTCGCAGATTACCAAACGAAACCATCAAGCAAATAGCAGTACGAATCGAAACACTAGTTCGAAAAGCATATTCATTAAATACACATGACTATAAAAACACAAAGATGACAGAAATCTTAATGATGACCTTAACACCACAATTAAGGAAAATAGCAATAAAAAAGAGAGCATCCCATCCTTCTTCAATTCGAGAACCCGATTTAGATTTTCGAAAACTAGTAGACAAATTAGAACAAGCAGAAATCACGATGAAACTAGAAGAAACGGAAAATCTGAAATTACAATACGTTAACAGAATTGAAACGACTCCCACTAATATTAATAATATACAGGAATCAGAGACAGACCTCGTTGAAAAAATCACTGAAATACTCAATATTTACGAAAAGAACCCAAACTTTAAAGGCAAACCATCTTTCAAAAAATGGTGTAATTATTGCCGACGATACGGACATAGTATTTCCGAATGTAGACAAAAACAGCAAGACAATCAAAATAAACCTCAAAAATATAAAGAACCAAATAAATCATTCTATCAATACATGAAAAAAGATCAAAATCTACCGAACAAAACAGTCTACAGCAACAACAGTTCAGGAAAACCACTCCCGAACAATACAAATTATACAAGAAATCAATCACCATATAACTCAAGTTATAGAGGAAGATCACCAGAACGAAGAAACACGAATAATTCATCACAAAATCACTACAATAGACCAAATAGTCGAAATAACTACTCCAGATCAAATTCAAATACACAACGATTTGTTTCTAGATCTAATTCCCAATCAAGAAATAACTACTATCCAAACAACCAATCACGAAATTCATCATACAATAGGAATAGAAACTACTCCTATAATCGAAATAGAAGTTATTCAAACAACCGAAACCAGAATTACCCGAACAATCAATCAAGGAATAACTCATATAATAGATCGAACTATAACAGACCAAACAATAATTACCAAAACAGATCGCGAAATAATTCACAAAATCGACACTCAAGTTATAATAATCGTTATAGAAATTATTCCCAATCACCACACCGGAATAATAATAACTATAAAATTCTAATAATCGCCACAGAAGTAGTACACCTAAACATCAAAGACAAATCAATCAAGTACAATCTAATCCAGAAACAACATCAGACCCTCCAGGTATTGATGACACAGTAACTGATACGTTACAACTCAATCAAATAAACTGTACATCATCAGATTCAGAAAGTGATACTGAAAACACTCTTTCTATCAATATGATAAAAGTCGAAAATGACTATGAATCTGTCATATATGAACAACCTTTTTCATCACACATATATGAAAATCAATCAGAATTTCTTCAAAATTATTACACTACACCCATAAATTCCACACCAACGACGCAAGAAACAAATGAGATTAACACTACAAATCAAACCAATAAAAATACCAAAACAAAATGCTTGAATACAAACCACATTTATCAAAATATACAAAAAGAACAACCCAAAGAAAAAATTTGGACAATACCATTTCTCTTAGAAAGCCCAAGAAATAAAGAATTTCAACCACCAGACCTTGAAATAGATTTTTTAATTGATTCAGGAGCAGAATCAAACATAATAAACATCCCCACATGGAATGAAATAAAAACTTTACACCCAAAGCTAACACCTCTTGAAACCTCCAGCAAACTAGCAACAGCACAAGGATCAACATTGATAAACTACGGAAAAATCCAATTATTTCTCCTCCCCACC